CGAGGTTACGGTGTTCACCTCTTATTCAATAAGTCCCGGGTTCGAATCCGGATAGCGACGACAAATAATCTTCTCGACAATATTCTTCTTTCGCCTCGTTTCCTGTTCTCTTACAATGTTCTTTCGCTTGCTTTCGTCTCCACTTTCTGCCCCCACCCCGTCACCTCCTTCACCCCTCCTCTGGGCCCCTGACTCTTTCTGCAGCCTTTCTACTGCAACTCCTTGGCTCCTTCGTACTGCTGTCTTTCAGCCACACCCCTGTTAATATGTCAGGTAACACCTAGCCTTCTCGGATAAGGGCTAAAAATCTCGGATGTCCGTTGGGCTCGTTGCGCACACTAAAGATCCCTTGGTGATCCAAAATCGATAAGAGTAGGCTTCGGCGCCACCCAGGCAAAATTCTAAATGAATTCCTACCAAACTTAAAATGTTTAATGAGTCCCAGGCGCTCATTTGTTCTTATGCAGTAGCGAGCGCCGTAAAACATTTACAACCTCAGACTGTGTACCCCCAATCAGGTAGGACCTGAACCAGTCAAGAACCCTTCCAGACAGGCCAAACGTGTTGAACAATCGTTCAATAAGAATAGTGTGATCTATAGTGTCAAAGGCAGCACTAACATCAAGAAGAGAAAGAATTGATATTTTGTTCTCATCCGTCTCACACAAGAGGTCGTTATATATTTTCAATAGCGCAGTTTCTGTGTTATGAAATCGCCGATAGGAGATTGATAAAATTTATATAAATTATTTTCTTTTAAATGATTCTTCAATTGAACCAAAACAACTTTCTCCAAGATTTTTGATAAAAAGGGAAGGTTGGAGACAGGCCTGAAATTCTTGAGCTCCTCCGGGGAAAGATTTGATTTTTTGAGAAGGGGAATAACTAAAGCATGCTTAAAGAGTGATGGAACTACTCCAGACTGAAGAGACTCATTAATGATGGAAGTTATAAATTCAATGACACTATCAAGATGTGTTATGAGTAGTGGTGTTGGGATAGGATCAAGACTACGTGATTTATGGGGTGATGACATTATGATTGATCTAACATCTTCTTGTGTTACACGTACAAATTC